GCTTTTTTTTTTTTCCTTTTTCGCTCGCGGATGCAATATCCACTTTTTGCGCTGTAACGAACGATTACTTCTCGTTCGCCCTCATTCTCTCTCTCTCTCTTCCCTCCCGCCTCCTCTCCCCCTTGGCCACCCGTCGCTTTTAATGGCCGTTCATGCGCGTAATCGGCAGATCCGCGCGCGTTCCCGATGATGCCCGGCACTCATTATTTGCACAGGATGCGTCGCGCGAGTGTGTACACACGTGGCGGCGCGCAAGTCCCCCCCCCATCCACACTTCGACTCGCGCTCTCCTCTCCTCTCCTCGCTTTGCCTCGTCTCGCTTCGCTTCGCCTCGTCTCGCCTCGCTCGTTGTTCGCGAGCGCATCGGCGCACCGCTGTTTATTCAACTGCAGCTGCGTCAGCGAGCGCGAACGCGGCGACGACGACGACGGCGACGGCGGCATCTGACTCGGAGAGCCGCATCGCTCCCGGCCAAACGTCGCTGCCATCAGCGACGGAAGCATAGATTCGACCTGTGCGAGAGCGCGTAAGGACAGGAATACGTTGCCGGCTCTCGCGAACGCTGCGTGTTCGCTACGTTCGGCACAATAAGACACAAAAGAAAACTTATTCGACAGCCCGTACGCGCTCTTGTTTCGACGACGACGATGACGACGATGACGACGACGACGACGACGACGACGACGACGACGACGACGGTGCAGCAAGGGAAGCGAGAGAGGGTGGCGATTTATCTCGAATGCGAATGTCCACTCTCTGTTCTTCTTTCTTCCTCTCTCGTGAAACCGCGCTCGCTCGCAGGACTCCTTATAAGAGGCTGCCGCTTACGTCATCCGATCTTTGGGCCGTACCGGCCCTCCGAAGACCTATTACCTTATTTACGATTCGCACGGCCATTATCTCCCGGCAACAAAGTGAACCAGCCGGTTTTTCGATACTATCCGCGCGTACGCTCGCCGCGCTGCGAAAGAAAGAAAGAACGAAAGAAAGAACGGCCGAGGGAGCGGCGGAAGGAACGGCCGGCTGAAGTGGGGGCGGGGGGAGACCGCCGGGGCGACGGGACGAGCACAAAAGACACACGCACGACACAGACGTCGTAGGCTGCGTGCAGTTTCGCGGTCGCATGGCCGAGTCTCAGAGAGACTTTTGTCTTCGCTCGTTAATAACAGCCGCGCCGTAATGTGGGGGAGAGAGAGAGAGGGAGAGGGAGAGACACGTGGACAACTCCAGCGGGAGAGACGCTACTCTTGCGATAGCTCGATGTTATCGAGGTGCGTTGTGTCGGAATATCGATGCAACACAGAAGCAACGCACACAGACGCGCGCGCGCGGCCTCTCCCATGCGCCGCTCGCAATCTAAATTAATTTCGCGCGACCTGGCGGAATTGTCGCAAGCGCGCGAATCATAACGACCGTGCGGCGTTGCGTAATGTATCGATGCGCCGGGAGAAAATGCATTGTTAATCTGAAATCCGCGCGGATATATCGGTCGCTTTCGGACGGACGGTCTCTCCCTCTCTCTCTCCCTCTCTCTCTCTCTCTCTCTCTCTCTCTCTCTCTCTCTCTCTCTCGGTCTTGTCAGCCAGTCGGGAAAGTCCGGACCGAAAAAGTCCGGATCGGAAAATGATGATCGATGACGACGGCGCTCGTAGGCGTTTGCCGAGCGACGGACGCGGCGCGACTGCAACGACCTCGCAACGAGCGCTGCAGACTCGTAAATTATATGTTTGATTATAATCGCGTAATTACGATCGCGAGCGGGCCGGACGGGCGGTCTCTCCCCTCTCCTCTCCTCTCCTCTCCTCTCCTCTCCTCTCCTCTCCTCTCCTCTCCTCTCCTCTCTCGGCGCTGACTCGGCGTACGTCGCGCCGCGCCGGTAATAAACCCACGCGAGCGCGCTTTCGCAACGACATTGCGACGTGCTCTCGGCGCGTGCGAAACCTGAATCTCGCGTCGCGCTACAGAGATCGGCGACGAGAGAGCGAAGATCGAATAACGCCGCGGCTGAATTCTTACGAGGTGCGGGGTAGCAATTCCGCGGCGCCGTAAGTACGTACCATCGCGAGATAATGACCCGGTCGATGGGGAGCATCTAATTTGAGAGTGTGCGATTTCAGTTTCCGCGCGAGTATTTATAAATCAGCGTTTACGTCAGACGCGTGCCGAGCAACGACGCCGACGACGCCGACGACGCCGACGACGACGCCGCCGCCGCGGAGGATCGATCGGTCGGTCGGTCTCGCGGTTCCTTCGATGTCGCGTCGAATCTCTCCGCGCAATTATTTACACGCGCGCGTCATTTCGATCGTCAGCATTCGGCGAGAGACGCGCCAGCGAAGCGAGGAAAGGCGTACAATCGTGTCCCGCCAAGAGCAGCGCGATGAAACTTTTAAGCGTCGTCTACAACGCCTGCGAGAATAAAGCTGTGAGCGTAAGCAGTAAAAAATAGACCAACTGCAGTCGATTGTTATAAGAATGATCGGCTGTAGTTGGTCTATTTCTTACTGCTTATCGCTTACAGCTCTATTCTCGCAGCCATTGTAGACGACGACGACGCTCTTCGGAGAACTCTGTTCCTCGCTCGCTTTTATTCCTTCATCCTTTCCAGCGCGCGGCTCAAAATGAAAAATCCAGGAATTTCTCTCATAAACTAAGAACCGCTCGTGGCGCAAAAAAAGCCATCCATCCGACAATTGTCGGAATCGCCGGAAAAATTGGACTACTATCGCGGACATCGCGATATGGGAATATTGCGCGAGAGCGCGCGAGTGTCGGAGCACGTTGAATCGCGAGGGGTCGGGGGCGGGTATAGTACGTTAATTAATTTCAACCGACGGATATCGCCGGGCTCGTCGTTTCGGGATAAAGCGGGAGAAACAGAGAGAGAGAGAGAGGGGGGAGGGGGCTTTTCGATGAACGCGAATTTGTCGTTTGCCGCGACACGACGCCGTCGTAGCAGCGCGCCGCGCGACGCGGCGCGGCGCAACAACCTGTTCGATGACTTTTCCGTTTGATGATTGCAACAAGTGAGGCCCACACCGTCGTGCTCGCTCCCGCTCCCAAACCCATTTTACCACCCCGACAGCCACTCCCCCGTTTCGCATTCAACAAGTGGCCAAATCATTCAGCGCGGGGGCCGCAATCCCTCGAAAAATTGCAATTTTCGTGCGCGCCGTCACTCGCGGCCAGTCATCGATCGATCTATCGAAACGTTATTAAGCCCGGCCGCGGTGGCCGGCGGATACACCGCGACTCGCGAAAATCCTCCGACACCGGGCGACCGAGCGGACAGCAGGCCGACGGGATCATTAGTGTTCTCTGCCGCTCGCGCGACGCGCCGACTGCTCAACCTCTCGCGTGCAGCTCCCCCCCCCCCGCTGCCGCCGCCGCCACCGCCGCCACCCTCGCGGTCTCGCGCGGGATGCGCATGTCGGTGTGTGCCGTCGTTTTCGAAAATCCACGCACGGCAGGCTCTCTCCTCCCCCTCGCGGCGATCGCGTGTGCGACGAGCGGCTGTTTGCGAGAGAGAGAGAGAGAGAGAGAGAGAGAGAGAGAGAGAGAGAGAGAGAGAGAGAGAGAGAGAGAGAGAGCGCGCGCGCGGTGCGCTTTGTGCGCGAGAGGAGGCGCGTCTTTTTCGAAATTCGATTGACGCCCTTTCACCGCGAAACGTAATCATTACTGTCATCGGAAAGCGCCGATCCTTTCCTCCGCAATTTCAGCCGGCGCGCCCGTCTGTGCCATCGTCGGTGTGTTCTGTGCTTGGACCTGCGCGCGCGCGCGTGTGTGTGTGTGTGTGTGTGTGTTCGTATATATATCCAGGGCTCTCTGAAGAGAGCCTGTGGAGACTCGAACCTCGTGGTATCTGGTGGAATGGGTCTCATTAAGGACGCCTTCACAGCCCTTCATCCTTGGCTCTTGAGATCCGCGCCTACCTTCCTCTCCTCCTTCGCTCACTCTCTCACTCTCTCTCTCTCTCTCCCTTTCTTCCCCCGTCTCTCTCGCCCCCGCAAGACGCTCGTTTTTTATACCTGACTGCCCCCTGCTCGCATTTCTGGCCTCGGTCCTGCGCGTTTGCGTGCGCTTTATGTGGCCGAAGGCCATTCGACGCCTGGTTCCCTGTCATCTTCGACTTTAACCTCGTCGCGGCTTAAAGACGTTTCCAAAGGAGAGATATACGGGCGGCCGACGAAACGAGAAACTCTTTCTCTCTCTCCCTCCCTCCCTCCCTCCCTCCCTCCCGTCTCGCACCCGCGCCTTTTCTGCCGCGAGCATCGCGTTTAACCCTTCAGCCCGTGCGAGCATTGCGCGTTGCACAGTCGATATCGGACATTGTTGCGCCGTCAGCGGATGTAACTTTAAATAATCGAGCCGATCCCCAGGGAGACGAGAGAGAGAGAGAGAGAGAGAGAGAGAGAGAGAGAGACTTCTCTGACGACGTTAACCCTACGACATACAATTATGGCCGTTCGCTCGGGACAAACAGAGCTCGAAGTGAAATCCCATGAACGAACGAAGAAATAACGGTCGGCCGACTTGGACGATCTCTAACGCCGCGCGCAGCGCGAGTAGTTTACGGCCGAACAGACGCGCGCGCGCGCGCGCGCACCCCTGCAACGTCCAATCAGAATAATTGAATGAACTCGCCCGGAGGAAGCGTCGCTGGTATTTTCGTTAACGAAGAATGCATCTCTCCGCGCGTCGAATCTCCGAGCGAGCGAACGTTTTATAAGCAAGATAAGCCTCTCCGCTGGCGCACGCAGTGCAGATGCGATTGCTCCATTTACTCGTATTAATAGCGACGGGATCCGCGCACGTGGACGACTGGTAGCCCGGAGCTACAAGGATTAGACAATGTCACAAAGTAACAGGCTGCTTGTCGCGGACGCGGCTTATTCGTCGCCGGACGAGGCGAGAGACGATGCGTTCCGCGTTTTAACGTCCACGTGCGGTGCCGCCGTATCTTTCTCTCTCTCTCTCTCTCTCTCTTTCTCTCTGTCACGTCGGCATTGTCGTACATGGCTAATCGAATCCCTTCGTTTTCCCGCTTTTTCTTACAGGGTGGCGGCGGTAGCGGCGGGGCTGCGGGCGGACTGAAATTCACGGTGGCGGACACTTGCGACCGGATTAAAGAGGAATTCAGTTTCATCCAATCGCAGTATCACACGTGAGTATCTTTCTCTTTTTCTCTCTCTCTCTCTCTCCCTCCTTCTCTCTTTCTGTCGCGCGTACTCTCCGCGCTACGTCCAGAGTGACGTTCTCGTTTTTAAATTTGTCGTTCTCGTTTTTAAATTTCTGTTTCTCTTTGCTCTGTAAGCCCGGGCTCTCTTTCGTTCACGTTACCGTGCTCGAGTTTTCCCAGCTCTTCGCGATCGCCTCGATGTCGCGTCTCCCCTCGTTCGTGTCCTCTTCTGTAATACAACAACGATGTCGCGATTTTAGATTTCGCGCACTGTGCCTCGCGCTCGTTGACGCACATTCGTATGCGTATCGGTCCTGCGTCGTCCGAAGTCCGCCGCGCGCGGCACGCTTGCCGATGCGTTTTGCGCCGTGCGAGACGCGACGCGCCTTTGCCATTGGCGTTCGTTGCACGTCTCAAAGCGGCCGGTTAATCCGCGCGCTCTCAACCGGCTCTTTTATTTTTCACAGATTGAAGATGGAGTGCGAGAAGTTGGCCAACGAGAAAACCGAGATGCAAAGGCATTACGTTATGGTAAGGCACTTTGTAAGTTCCCTTTCCTGTCTTTCCACTTTGATTAAGTCGCATTACGTCGCTTACGTCGCTTACGAGCTTGACGCGCAGTCCGAGAGCGAGAGAGCGCAACTCGGACGACAATTTGCCCCTCCCTCTTGCCACTTCCCTCCTTTCCGCCGCCGATCGCGCGAGGAATGTCAAGAGGGTGTATCGATGCAGCTGCACCACCCTCCCCTCGCCCCCCGCCCCTCGCCGTCCTCCGCCGTTCGCGCGGGCGATTCTCGCCACGAAATCGTGCGAAAACGCGCGCGCGGCGAAATCGACCGTCGGGGGAGCCGGGTGGGGCGGAGGAGCGAGGGAGAGGAGGGGAAATTCGTTGGGCAAAAATAGAGCCGGCGTGTCGCCGCGTCCGTTTCCTCCGCGGAGCGATTATTCGACCCGACGTGTCCCGCGCGCGGCATCCTTGAAAGATGCAACGGACTCGTCGGGAATAAGATTGGAATTCGATTGTCGGACGTCGCGTGCATCGCGCAAAACGAGGCCGAGGGTCGAGCAGGAACCTCCTCGAAGCTCGCTTCCCTCTCGTCGCGTTCTCTTATTGGCGACGCGGAAACTCGCACACAAACACACACAGAGCGCGCGCGCGCGCGCGCGCACAGTGTTTATCGATAACGCGAGCATCGAGGAACCGGATATTATGTAAACGAGAGGAATTGTGCGAGCGTTAGCGCGCGCGCGAGAGCCAATCGTCCGCGGGGGCTGAGGGGCGGCGGGGGGGGGGTGTAAACGATCGATATTATTCCCGCCTCATATTGCCGGCTCTTCGATTTAGTTCCATCAGCGCGAAGGCAATTAGTCCGGCCGACCGTACTAATCGTATCGTCATCGGTAAGGAGCTTAACTTGGACTTACCTATATTAAAGTGCAGTACTAACATGGCCCAAAGTATTCGCCGACTATCCGTTTCGCGTCCCACCCACCCCCCCACCCCCCGCCCCCTGGCGTTTCGCCTCGCCGCTCTCCGCGGCGAGTGGATGTTATTATTGTCATTACTGCGATATAGATTTTCCCCACGCGCGCGCGGCATTGTCGCGGAATCGGAGATGGAGGTAAGTCCAAAGTCGAAATAATTGCAATAATCACGATATTTGTTTGAGAATTTGTTCGCGAGGGAGAGGGAGAGAAGGAGAGAGGAAAAGAGAGACAGCGGTGGGTCAGCGTTTCTCTCTTCTCGTTTCTCCTTTTCTTCTCGTTTCTCGTCCCGTGATATCGCCGTCGAGAAATAATATGCCACGCTCCCGTTTTCACACACACACACACACACACACACACACACACACACACACATCGTTGTCACATACACACGCTACTTAACATTCCGAGTGCAGGTAATTATTTCGAATTGAATCATGTTGCTCGTTGATTCCGCGTCCCGCTTCAAAGGCGATATATGGCGGACGCGGGGCGGCGTTGATACCGGAAATTGAATGCCCCGAATGAAATATTGGCTCGGTCGTTTCGTCGCGAATCGACGGTGTAAAAAAGAAACGTCACGCAGCGGCGGGGGGGGAGAGGGAGGGGGGCGCGAGCGGCACAGGCGGTCGCGATCGAGTGGAGTCTAAGAATCCGCGCGCCGCCCGCGCGGTGAAATCAATCGCCCCGCGCGAATCCGCGGCTCTCCGGCCATTCCTTCGTGGCGGGGAAATTTCGCGGAATCGCATGACAGCGTCGTCTCGCGTATGTCCTTCCTCCGAGTTTCCCCGAAAATCTCTCCGTGGAATATTCCGCGCGCTCGTCCCTCCCCGCTTCCCTCCGTGCCCGCGTTCTTCCCGGCGAATGAAATTCACGAGAGAGAGAGAGAGAGAGAGAGAGAGAGAGAGAGAGAGAGAGAGAGAGAGAGAGAGAGAGAGAGAGAAAGGACACGGCGCGTCTGTCAAAAGCGAAATAAATTCCGATATTCGCGAGTATATACCTTTTCTCTTCTTTCCTTTCTCTGGTCATTTTTTCGTCATGGAAATCGCGCGGTCTTGCGGAACGTGTCGCGCGCGACAACGTCGTCTCGTGTGGACGTCGGTTTCGAAGTTACGTAAACATTTCGGCCGAAATATTCCGCGCTTCTCGTCCTCGCATCCTCCGTGGCAAATCAAACTCACCGGGAGGAAGAGAGACAGAGACGGGGGAGTGAGTGAGAGAGAGAGAGAGAGAGAGGGGGGGGAGAGAAAGAGAGAGAGAGAGAGAGAGAGAGAGAGAGAGAGAGAGAGAGAGAGAGCCGCGCCACGGTCGGGGGACCGAAAATGGGAGCAAAAATCAAGAAGTTCTCGCTTTTGTCCCGATACAAATTCAGCGTCGCGCGAGAATGCGCTCTCGCGGGCACGCGGGTTATGCGTTTCCGCAAACCGCTTTCGAGATACGAGAAAGCGAACGGTGCGGATTGGCGGAGGGTCAGTAACCCCCCCCGTTATGCTCGATCGTAGACACAAATTCCGGCGGAGCTTGAAGGCAGTTGATTTTGCAGTTTGCTCGCTTGATTTTCGGAATCTCAGCAGCGGCGTTTGTAGAAATCAGAGATTGAAGCCGGGTTTTACACACTCGGTACGCGCGCGCGCGCGTGTGTGTGTGTGTGTGTGCGTGTGCGTGTGCGTGTATGCTCGCGCGCGCGCGCGCCACGGTAGAGAAAGAAAGGAATACGCCTCGCCCCGACGCCGTTGCGTCTCCATTATTTATACGAGCAAATAAAGGGGGTGGGAGAGGGGGAGGTGACACGCGCACAGTGGCGCGTATCGAAATTTGTAGTAGCGGCTAACTGCGAGCAAAGTTGACGAGCACGTTGATATATCCCGCGCTAATTGCCAATTTTGGAATACTTCATTATATTCCGACAGTCTCGCATTATTGCGCTTAATTGCGGCGAGATGCGCGCGGTTGTATAATTTTTGATACTCTTCCCCGTTGAAAGTTAGGCGACGAGAGCGAGTTGGTGAAATTCACGGGATATTCCCGACACACCGGGTAGCTCGGATTTGCGTGGTTAATGCAAATTACCTAAGAAATGCAAATCCCCGTTCGTGAGGCGGACGCGAAGCGCTTCTTCGTTTTGCGCGCGCGGCGCTGTGACGGCGGTCGGAGGGGCGGGGGCGATGGGGGGCGACGAAACGGCCGTTTTGTAGGCGAGCACGTTGCGACATCGGCGCGTCTTTGAACGCGCGAATTAATAACCGAGCGGAAAACGGACCGCGCTCTCAGCTGCCGTGTAGATCGATGTCGTCGCTGTAAACGCGGGGGTATTGTCGATTCCCGAGGTCCTACACCACCACCACCACCACCACTACCACCACCACCGCTACCGCCGCCGCCGCCGCCGCCGCCGCCGCCGCCGCCGCTGCCGCCTGCTGCTGCACGGCCGATCGTAATTGTCGCGAACTATACTGTCTCTGTAAACTGCTACACCGATGTGACACCGTGCAAGCAACCAAGCAGCAAGCTGGGCCGAGTGGAAGGGAGTCGGGGGTGCTAGAGGGTGTGGGTAAGGGGGGTCGCGGAGGTGACAGAGGGGTTGATGGGGGTTGGGAGTTGAGCCGGTAATCGATATCTCCAAAGTAAACGAAGAGAGAGATAGAGAAGGGGCCGGGAGGGTGGAGGTAGGGGGGTCCTGGCTGTAGGAGGTGGAGGAGGAGTTGATGGAGAAGGGGCACAAGTGGGGGCGAGCGGGGACGACAGAGAGAAGCAAGGCTTGTCGAGGGAAAAGCGAGCGGGAAAGAGACGGACGGATAGCGCGCGCGCGCGCGCGCGCGCGAGAGAGAGAGAGAGGGAGGGAGGGAGAGAGAGAGACGAACACACGGACACGGGCAGAGGGACGAGCAGGAGAATTACAGAGACAGAGAGAGAAATTGATGTCGAGGGTTTGTCAACCACCGACAAGTATTATATACGTGCAAGCCGTAGACGCGGACGAGGGTGAGGGGGTGTTGGTGCGCGGCACAGTACGTACACACGCGCCGCCACCGTGTCTCTGATATTCTAATTCCACCCTCGTGTATTCCGACCGCCTCCTCCCATTTCTTTCCGTCACCACCACCACCACCACCACCTCCGCCGCCGCCGCCGCCGCCGCCACCGCCGCCGCCGCCACCGCCACCGCCTTCACCATCGCTGCCGCCGCCGCCACACGCGCGCAAGTTCATCCTTCGCGATTTTCATTAGGGTAACGCGCCGCGTAAATCCGCGCGCCGCTTCAATTTTTGCCCCCTCCCACCCGTGACTCTTCTTTCCATCCCCCGTCGTTCCATCTTCCTCCCTTTCGCGCTCTACTCTTTTGTTCGCTGCCACGGATCATCGCCTTTCTACGTCGTCACGCGATATCTTTCCCTTCTGTCGAGACACCGCCGAGCATGTCGAGCTTTCAGGGGATTTGATTAATACGCCAGTACCCCGATTTGTTTGCAGACGGTTAATCCTCGAGTATTTGGGGGCTCCTGCAATTTTCGCCGTCGGATTTTCTCAGCCGGTCTGTGCGGCGCGTATATCAAGAAGCAGAGAAAAGTGGAATATTGAATGCGCAAAGACGGCGCTCGGCTATACACAAGAAGGCTGTCCCTCTTACGTTTCTCGCGAAGGAGACATTCTTGTCCCCGCCCATTCCCCCCTCCTGTGTTATTCGATCTTTTTCCTTCGCTCGCCGCTTATGGATTCGCTCCGCCGATCTGAGCCATTTTTATCACCGCCTTTATTTATCATTCGATCTCAGCGGCGGAGTCATTGTTCGTGCGCGGCCGCACTATGCGTGCTCGACAAGTGTATCTTCGAAAAGTAATATTTCGTAATCAAGAGGGCGGGGCAGGGGAAGAAGGGGGATGATAGATACACAGTGGTGGTCGGGGAGAGTCGATTCTATCCAAGTTGAACTCGCGCTGCCGAATAACTTCGCGACTCGTCGTCTTCCGTCGAATGTCGCTGTTTGTCGCTGCGGTTTATACGGGCCGGAACTCTCTCTCCCTTCACCTCGCGGCCGAAAATAGCGTAGGAAAATTCAGGGCAGCGCTGTAAAAAGTCGGCAGCCTCGATCAGAGAGCAGCGACGTTTCAGTCCGCACTCGGGGAATAAACAACTCTCCGGCGAGCCCGCGGAGCGTCTGACGTGCTCCAATTACCACGCGAGCGCCCACCCTCACTTTCCTCGGCATTCCTTGGATTTTCGCGCCGCCTACCGCTCGCCCGATTGCTCGCGCAGGAGCTTCATATTTTTATCGCGACAGGTTGCGGCGCGCATCGTCGGCGGTGAATTAATTCTCCGGAGTGTAGCCCGAAACGAGGTGGCCGCCGAGCGTCATCCCATCAACCCTCCTACTTTGTCCCGGCAGAAGGGTGGTCGGAGAGCGGGCGGGCGGGCGAGGGGTGGTGGGCTGCCGGGGGCCGAGGAGCAGGAGGAGGAGGGGGGGGAAAGAATAGGAGAAGGTAGCGCCGTTCCGTATCGTCGAAAACAAACGGGGCGAACGGAAAACTCCGAGCCCCCGGGCCGTCGGAAAATTAATTTGATTTCCGATACGCGAATGTAATGATCGAGAGAACGGGAGAAAGAGAGAGACGCTCAGCAGCGCTCAATGGCACGGGGGATGGCCGCCGCGGTCGGTGGGGGGGGGGAGGGAGAGGAGGCAGAGGGAATACAAAAAAGGGATGGAAGGGAAAAAACCTTATCGAAATCGGGCCCGGGGTCGTCGCGCATCTCTCCGGCCTGCCCGCGCGAACGAGAAGACTTTCCAATTATCTATGTTTTTTCTCCACCGCGCGTTTTTTCGCGCTGCAACAAATTAAACGTAACCCACATCCCTGGGGCACGCTTCTCGATTACTCTTTGTTTTCCTCCTGTTTCCACGGTTCGCCGTTTGCTTTCGCGCGCGCGCGAGCGGGCACGTCTGGCAGATTGCATTTCCACTCCCCTCCTCTACCCTCTGCGCCCTGCGCTACGCTATGCTACGCTACGCTATGTTATGCCACGCTACGCTACGCTTCTCTCTCTCTCTCTCTCTCTCTCTCTCTCTCTCCCTCGTCCTCTCTGGCGAAAAAATTTTTTTCACCGACGCTCGCGAAATTTTGCGACGTGCTGCTCCGAGCGTGATGGGCGGTTTGGCCGACGGCGCCGCGATTGTTCCTTTACGCGCGGAAAATAACGTTAGGGGTCTTGGCCGAGGTGAAATAATGCCCTCGCGAAATTCCGCGGCGTGTTTCATCGAACTCGCGCGCGTGTCACCGCGCAAGTTGCTGCACTCGAGCGTTGCGTCTCGACTCGTATTTCTTTCATCGCCGCGTGTAATCGCGGCGATAATTGAATGCACTCTCTTGTTTCGTAATTTAATATCTCAGCTCATAGTGCTGCGCACGCCCCGCGATCGGGCTGGGGGGGAGGGGGGAGAAAGATCCTTTCGGCGCGCATTCGCGATTGGTGAGCGTCGGTTCCGCTTGTGTGTACCGGTAATTCACGAGACAAGCTTTGACGAAGCCACGAGTCGCCGATGTGAAGAGGAGTCCCTCACGCGGCGGCCGGCGCGAATCGCGCGCTCCGACTTATTAATTATCCTTTTAATTATCCGCGGGTGTCGCGCGCGCGTGTGAAATTTCCGCGAGGCGAGTCAAGAGTGGATGCGAGAGCGAAAGGGAGGAAAGGTAAATGGGGTACGCGGGATGAGAGCGACGGGCCGAATCGGAGTGCGGTGCGACCAGAAAGGAGAACGAGGAGAGACAGTGAGAGATAGAGAGAGAGAGAGAGTGAGAGGGGGGGCGGGAGAAGGAGGGGAAGGGTGAGAAACGAGGGAAAATGTCGAGAGCGCGCGCTACAGAAGCGCGGGTGAGCGGCAGGGCGGACGGGAGGAGAAGAGGAGGGAGGTCGTCCGATCACCCTATCAAAGGCTCGCTCGCTACTAAAAGATCCATATCGAGTAACCGGAGGGGGCGAAATTATCGGTACAACTCCTATTATTGGGTTCCGAGGCACGTGAAAATAGAAAATGAGAGGTGAACAGATGAGATCGATAGCCCGCGGAACTTTTGCCGTCGAGAGAAAGAGAGAGAGAGAGAGAGAGTGAGTTTTCTTGTTATTTGATTACCGACTTACATCGACATCTTTTCCCTGTTTCCCTCCCTCCCTCCCTCCCTCCCACCCTTCTTGCCGTCTCTTGCTCTGCGGCCGTGCGAGTCAAGCCTCGAAGAGCGCGCGAGAACGAGGCTGTTCCGCGTTTACTCGCGTCGACGCGATGCTGGTGGCGACCGGGTCGATCTTAAGGTCCGATTGACAATCGGACTTGAAAATCTTCAAGTAACCTCGTCCGTAATCTCGGACACGCACATAGCCGCCGCGTGCGCGACAAGCATTCGATCGATCAGAGCGTTCGCTGGGCGACTCGCCGGGTCACAATTGGAGAAGTATCGTTGAGCGTCTCTTCCGCACTCCGCGAACCAGCACTTTACGACGGAATCCTCTTGCCTCCCCCTCGCGCGGCGTTTCCATCACGTCGAGGTGGCGACACGATGCGACAACGAGTAATCCCCGAAATCTCCGAGACACGCAAGCGTTCACCGGACGGACGGACGAGACAAATAAATTACCATCTCGCGTTACCGCTCCGCGGTGGCGCGATGGTCGCGCGCGTGCTTTTTCGAGGATGGCCTGCGAGCTTCGAAGAAGCGAATTACTGAGTCACCGTGTTGGTTGTGCGCGATACGATCGTCCAGCACCGCCACCAACACCACCACCGCCGCCGCCGACACTTACCTGCGCGCGCGCGCGCGCGCGCGCCGAGACGGGGCGCACCGGGATCGTTTTGCACGGAGAGTAGAGGAGAGACAGAGGAAGAAGAAGGGAAGGAAAGAAAAGGAAGAAGGAGAAGAAGGCTTCGCGCGAGCCTTGCGCCAAGTTCGCCGGGCGTAGTTATCGACTGCATTATTAAGTCGGTATATTTCCGTGGCCGATGCTATCGATCTCGGCCGAGTATCTCTCGGCTCGGCTTCGCCTGGCATGTGCATTGCCTTCTCGTCCCCCTCTCTCTCTCTCTCTCTTTCTATGTGTGTGTGCCCCTCGGCAGGCGGCAAACCCACCCCCGAAGCCATCCGTTGCCGAACGAGCGGCTAAAGGCGGACGCGCGCGCGGCGCTAAGCGACAGCCACTAACCGATTTACGATCGCGCAAGCGCGTCCGCCGATCCTATGCTCGGATGCAGTTTCACCGAGAGAGAGAGAGAGAGGGAGAGAGGGAAAGAGAGAGAGAGAGAGAGAGAGAGAGAGAGAGAGAGAGAGAGAGAGAGAGAGAGAGAGAGAGAGAGAGAGAGAGTGTGTGTGTGTGTGCGTGCGTGCGCAAGCCGGGACCGTAACAGCCATACGCTAGAGAGAGAGAGAGAGAGAGAGAGAGAGAGAGAGAGAGAGAGAGAAAGAGAGAAGGGTTCCCTCGGTTGCTCGGCTCTCTCGGCCGCAGAAATTCACCCACGAGAATGCACCCCTCCTCCCCTCGGGCGGGTGCGGCGGCGAGATCGCACGGAGGGATCCATCGATCGCTCCGCGAGCGATTTGATACGTCTCGGGAATGTCGCGCTTTCCATGTATGGTGGGGCGAGCGCGCGTCTAAAGATCGGCGGAATGGGGTGAGCCAGCCATGAGCGAACGCTCTCTCGCTGTATTTTCTCGGGAAACCGGCAGGCCAGGAGGGAGGGATAAGAGGGAGCACAGACGCGAAATTAGGATCTCGCGTGGCGGCGGCGACGGCGCGCGCGCGTAACTCGGCCTGTCATTTTCAAGAAAGGGCCCGCGAACGTAATGCGTTGCCGAACGAGCGCCCGGTGTGCTCAGCTGCAACTAACCAATTTACGAGCGCTGCGCTCGCGGGCGCGCGCAGTCGTCAAGCAGTCGAAAGCGAGTCGAACGCGCGAAAGGTTCTTATGGGCGCGCGCATTTGGAGACGCAATAATCTCTCTCTCTCTCTCTCTCTCTCTCTCTCTCTCTCTCTCTCTCTCTCTCTCTCTCTCTCTCTCTCTCTCTCTCTTGCCCCCGCCCGCCCCCTGTTCTCCTCTCCTCTGCTTGCTCGCTCTCCATCCCTCTCGCCCCTCCTGTTCTCTCTCTCTCTCTCTCTCTCTCTCTCTTTCGCCCCCGAAGCTTCTCGCGGATATTTATGCACGTCGTGCTCTCGAGTCGCGCGGTGCTTCATAGCCGACGGATTTGTACCGGCGATGATCCCAACCGCAACACTGATGACTCTGTGCCTCTTTTGTTGCAGTATTACGAGATGTCGTACGGCCTGAACGTCGAGATGCACAAACAGGTAAGTGAGTCCCACCTCCACGCCCGGCTCCGCGCTCTCCGAATGTCGCGCTGATGAAAGGCACCTCCCCCCGGTGTTATTGTGCACCCACGAGCTCGAGCCATTCTTCTCCGCCGTACCGAGCCGTATCGAGAGCGCGTCGCGGCTCTCCTCGGCCTGGCCGCGAGCAGGTTAATCATCGAGACATCGAGTCCGACGCGTTTCAAGGGTTTACACCGGCCGCGCCGCGCGCTTCGTTAATTGAGCCCGGACTGTGTCAGTGGATCGGCCGGCGCGGCCGCAAATGAGGGGTGCGGGCGCGCGTTTACGTCGGGAAATGGTGTAATTTCGGCTAATCAGGGGAAACAGCGGTGGGGCGGTCCCCTCTGTCAGCAATTTTCTTAAAAGCGACCCTCGTATCGCGGCACGGCGGCGGCGGCGGCGGCGGCGGCTGCCTCACGCTATAGCAGCGGCGTGCTCAAAAGTAGTAGGGGGCTCCCGAACACCAAACAACCCTCCCTGCCTCGGCACAACGAGCTGATATTCATTAGCATTAGCGGCCGATCATTTCTCACCCTCGTACCCCCGAGGCAGCGCTTAATGGGCCGAGGCGGCAGCGGCGGCGGGGTGGCGAGGGCGCAAGGAGAGGAGGGATGTCTTGTCGGATAGTTGCAGGGCGTAGCGCGGAAAGAGAGAGAGGGTGAGGGTGAGAGGGAGAGAGTTATCGTTGTGGAATTGTTTCCGCCGGCGAGTAATGCGCGAGGAATCAGAGCGTCGTCGTCCCCTTAACGGTAAGCGTCGCGCTATTTTCGAGATCGACCTCGCGGCGAATCTCGAACGCGCGAGGCGCGCGCGCGCGCGCGCCTGTTGAAGCTGTCTTTTCAAATCGCAAACGGGAGAAGGCACGACAAGCGAGATTATTAAGCTCTCTCGACGACCGTTGATCACGAACATCGGAAAGCGTCCGTCTGACGCTCTCGTCTTTTTCATCAGTCGCGAGTTATATAATCGGGTCGTGCCTGTCGCGAGAAGATTACTGTAACGTCACGTAATGTGCCGTGGAGAAAAAGAGAGAAAGAGAGGAGACGGGCCGGGGGGAGGGGGAGGAGGAGATGGTGGAAGAAGAGAGAATAGATCCGGAATGTAAAACGCGAGATGCGAAGGAAGCTCTTTTTCTTCCCTCGGAACATCAAGAATAATCCCGTCCGCTCTTCTCGATAAACATCACGCTGTCGAAATAATTGAATCGGATCGTCGGAGTTTGCGGGTTTACGATGAGATTTCTTGCAAAGTCTGTCTCTCTCTCTCTCTCTCTCTCTCTCACTCACTCACTCGCGATTTCCTCGCTGGTTAAATTGCCAGGATAATGAGGTGTTAATAAAAATCTCGGAGGTAAGATCGCCGCGGAATTGGTGGGAAATCAAGTCGCGAGACACCGCGACTGAACAGATTGCATCGGGAGGTAATGCAACGGAGTCGCCGTCTCCGCGCCGCTGCCGCTCTGATACTAATTGGAGGAGAAATGAAAAGTTATCGGTTCTTGGCGACTCGCTAATTACCCGTGATAATGTCGCGCCAACGCGCTACGCTCTCTCTCTCTCTCTCTCTCTCTCTCTCTCTCGGAGGAGGAGGAGGAGGAGGAGGAGGAGGAGGTGACGCGTCATTGAATCTCCCTCGCCGATTTATTTATTATCAATCGCGATTTTTCGCTCAAGTTCGCAAAGTTTCCACAGGACGACGCGTACGCGTCCTCGGTGTCTCAATTCCTTTGCACGTGTTGTTATACGAACACGCGATTTCTCGTCGATTCCCCCGCCATTCCTCTCATCTATCATCCGCAATTTATAATTCGCATCCTCCAAAAAAGAAAAAGGAAGAAAGAAAAATAGGAAGAAAAATGTATTTATTACTCTCGTCCCGAAACAAGTGTCGCTCTTTTATTCTTTCTTTCTCTCTCTCTCTCTCTCTCTCTCTCTGCTCGGCAAAGAGAAAAAATAAATAAATCAGGCCAGACCCTTCAGTCGGTCCCCGCCACTTAGCTGGCTTTCGAATCGCGGTTTTCTCGCTCCTTTTCAATTTGAGCCCCGAATGAAAACAATCTTTCCCTACGAAGTTAGATCCTTCTGTGTCTCCTTCTCGTCGCCCTTTCTCCCTACCTCTACCTCTCTCTCTCTCTCTCTCTCTCTCTCTCTCTCTTTCTCTCTCTATCTCCCTCTCTCTCTCTCTCTCTCTCTCTCGCCAGCAGCCACCCCTTTCGCTTTTACCCTTTTCGCTCCTCGAGCGACTCTCTGCCCTCGTTTCTCTCCCCGTTCCCGCCGCTCTTTTCTTTCGGCTCGCTCTCTGTCGCTCGCACCATGCCGTTGTATTCTTCGCCACCCTACCCTACCCCTCAAATGCTAGCCGTCCCTCGCATCTGCCGCGCGCGCGACCCTCGTATCTTCCGCCGCGGCTCCAAGTCGACATTTGCTTCTCACCCTGCCGCCGAGTTCGCAGCCAACCACCACCACCACCACTTTAGCGCTCCCTACTCGGCTAACTCGAATTTGTTGGTGATGTCCCGATTCTTGTAGGCACGATTACTTCCCTCGGTCTCCGTCTGTCCGTCCCTCTCGCGCGGGCAGTCTGGAGTTTTTCTTTTTTTTTTCCGGCTGCGCGGCCATCGCTCGAACTCGAACGTCGTCGACCAGCTCACGTGCGATTTCCACCGAGCGATCGCTCCTTAGGTTTCTCATCTCTCGACCCAGCTCGATCGTCTCGGACAGGTGCGAGTTTTCAAAAAGCACCACCTCGTGATATCGACTCGAGGTGCTCTCGACGATCTCTCTCGCTCATCTCATCTTCAGCAAGACGCCCTTCTCAGATTCCCGCTCCGGAGCGGAGAACACCTTCGTGACCTCGTCTTTCATTAACGAAGCGTTTCGTTCTCACAATTAATGGAATTAACGAACCGTCTTGTGTGCGGGGGTGTCAGTTTTACGGTGCCAGCGAGTCGGCAGCGCGAAAGTCGGACGACTCGTCGAAATTACGCCGCCCTTATAATCCGCCCGGATTATCGCGGATGTCGTCCGATGACATCGGCGACGGAGCGCTTTTACCGGAGTCTCGCGCGTTCCGTCGGCCACTCGAGCCAGCACACGAGCGAATTCCATCGCGCGATCTTCATGGGAAATGAGATTTCGCAGTCGATGCGGCAATCGGGAAAATGGGCGGCTCGCAAAAAGCGCCGTCGACCGCGCGCAAAAGGAAAGCGCGGAAAAGAAAGGGCGGGATATACGCGAATCGGACCGTCGCCGTCGCTCGGCGGAGGCGTCGGGGGTGGTGGCGGTGGCAGTGGTGGAAGAGGAGGAGGAGGAGGAGGAGGAGGAGAGGTAAAAACACATCGCGACGCGAGCGTCCGGCCGCGCGCGCGTTACGTTGCGCGTTCTCGCACCCCCCCCCCCCCCCCCCCGCGCTCGCACCCTCGCGTTTAGCCGTCGAGTCGTACACGTATGTACGGCCGGCGTATCTGCCCCGCGATAACGCTTATCGCTTAATTGAAAGGGTCGTCCTTCGGCGCGCGGCCGCCTGGTCGTTGTTGTTCCGCTCGATTAAGCCGCGATCTACGGCAATATGTCGCGAACGCGCGTAACGCGAGGCACGCGATCCGCGGCCGGCCTTTCTCGCTCTTTGGGCCTTTGGGAAAACGGGGTCACCGCGAGCGAGGGAGGGGAAGAGTCGAGGAAATTATAAATCAGCGGGGCAATGCTCGCGCGGCGGCGGCGGGAGGAGCGGGGGAGGTCGCGAACTTGTGTGGAGATTGCAAGTCGCGCGTCGGGCGGAAGTGAAGTGACGAGCTCGCTCGTTCGCGGGGATGTTTGTTTCGTGTCTCTCGATCGCGCGACTGCCGCGTTACGTTCGACGTGGAAGCGATCGCCGGTCTGTTTCCGCGGTTGCAAAAGTGACGGAGGGGGAGGAGCGTTGCTTCCCGAGCGCGCGCGCGCACGCGAGTTTCCATTCTTCCGTTCTTGACGCGACTCGGTGACGTTGAACCGCGGATGATGGTTTCTTCGACGCGCTTGTCGTGAGGCAAAGTTTATTCTCCTTCGGAGTCGTTCTCCAGAGAATAAGAGAAAAGCGGACTCAGGACCCGTTGCGAATTACGTTCCTAATAAATATGGTACCCTCGGACGAGAATTTCGAGTCGGCGCGGCGGCGGCGGCGATGGCGTTCTCTCGAAAAAGCGCGAGTATCTCTTTGAAAGAATATTGCCGGCGTTGTTGCTGGCGTTGTTCGTCGATACGAGAGTAACTACCATTTCCCATCGCGGATACGCCCGGCGCCCGATAAAAAATGTGCAGGCTGACCAATTGCATATAACTCACCCTGCCTTTCCAGTTCTTCCTGCCTTCATGCATATATACGTCTATCTATCCGAGCGCTCTGTCTTCTGCGCTCTCTCTCTCTTTCTCTCTCTCTCTCTCTCTCTCTCTCTCTCTCTCTCGCTCTCTCTCTTCTCTTTTCCTCTTTTTTTCTCGCTCTCCCTCCCTGCCCGTCTCTCCTCCCTCATTCTCTTTTTTCTTCTTTTTCTTTTTTTTCTCTTTCAGTACGTAACCCCTCTCGTTTCATCTCCCACGTGCTCTCTTTCGGCGGTCGGGGGTCGCTTTTCCAGCGTTCTCTCGTCCGTACACACGTGTCGCCGTGCGTATGCGAGAGCGAGCGAGCGAGCGAACGAACGAACGAACGAACGAACGAACGAACGAACGAACGAAAGACCGAATGACCGATCGATCGAACGAACGATCGAACGCCCGAACAATCGAACGATCGAACATATGAACGAACGAATGAACAAACGAACGAACAGACGAAGGAAAGACCGAACGACCAAACGATCGAACGAACGATCGAACGGCCGAACATATGAACGAACGAATGAACAAACGAACGAACGGACGAAGGAACGAACGAACGAACGAACGAACGAAGGATCAACGAGCGGGCGCGTGTACACACTCGTACTCGCGCGCTTGCTCGCACGAACACCTACGCCGCGCGCGTATACACCCTTCTAGAGGTCGTGTATTCGAGTTCTTTTATTTTGCCCTGTGGAGGTAGCAGAGGGTTGAGTCGAGCGAGAGCGGCGAGAGCGCGAGGGTACGCCGGTGGGCTGGGGGCGATGACATCGATTTTTTACCCGTTGCTAATCTCAATGTTACCTCCACCTCCTCCGCTACCTCCACCACTTCCTCCTTCTCCACCTCCCATTCGGTCATCTCCGTCCGTCCCTCTTCACCTCCCCGTCAACTCACTTGGTTCTCCCTCCTGCCGCTTCACCACCAGCCACCCTTCCTCTCCCCCGCACCACCTCCATCGCCAGCGCCAGAGCACTACCGCCGACGCCGCCGCCACCACCACCGCTGCCACCACCACCACTACCACCCCCTGGCCCTCTCTCTCTCTCTCTCTCTCTCTCTCTCTCTCGCTCGCTCGCCGCCGCTCCGCACCCCGGCCATCCGTTTTGCGGGAAAACGTGCATGTGCATCGGGCACATTCGAGAAGGAATAACCATTTTTTCGTGCCGGACAACACTCGCTCCGCGTCGCCCGCGTCCTGCAAATTCTCCTCGTCTCTCGACCACCGCCTCCGACCGACCAACCGCCTCCCGCAGCCCTCCCTCTCTCCCGGCACCACCGCGCTCGCTCGTTCACCCGCCACCTCCGGCCCCGTCGCCCTGCCGCGTGTCCTCTCCATTTTTTCGTCAAACCTTTTTTCGTCTCTCGCCCTTCTTCTCTACAGCCGACCCACCCCCACCGGCGGTCACCTCCTCGTCCTCCTCCCTCTCGCCGCCTACTGTCGAACAGGACGAAATCGAACTGACGTGGACGCGGCAGTTTTCCATCTTTCCGTTCCCCGTGGGAGCGATGACATTTTTTTTCGGTCTCTCAACTTTTAGATCTACGCGGCCGATTCGCTTGACGTGGAAATATCGCGCCGGTGCGAACGCGCGCGCGCGACATCGCTGCCGCTGCCACCGTCGTTTCTCTCTTGTCGATGCGACCGGCCCCCCCCCCCCGCCCCCTTTCCCTCCTTCTCTCTCTCTCTCTCTCTCTCTCTCTCTCTCTCGCTCTGTCTCTCAGTATCATATGATTATGCCGAGCGACCCCTCGCTAATTCAACTGCGCCGAGTAATCCCTGCGATTCGTCCCGACGATCAGGCGGACAGAGCAGCGCTCTGCTCGCAGAGCGAGAGAGAGAGAGAGAGAGAGAGAGAGAGAGAGAGAGAGAGAGAGAGAGAGAGGAGGAGGAGGAATCCGAGCGTTGGATGACTTTTCCCACCACAAAATTCGCCAATTATTCCGATAATTTGCAAGAGAGCAGCCAGAGATACAGGTTACTTTCCCAGGGATATCTCCGGCGCGGCCGAACCGCGGCCGCGCGGAAAAAAAGGCCACGGCCGGGCGATTATTCGGGCTTGATTGCTGCACGGGGTTAGTGGGCGATGACACGCGAATCTGCCTTTCCATCGCGGTCGTTGGAAAGTCACGTGGCGGCGGTCGTCGGCTTAATCGCGAATCGATTCGATCGACACGCATTAATGAGTAGCCACCCCGTTATACAAGGGTGGTGGTCGAGCCCACTCGTATGTCCGGCGAGAGCAGTCGTCGCGCGACACACACGTGATTACCACGACGTAACCCCGAACAGCGTGACACGTGTGTCCCGCGTGCGTTATATACACAATCCGAATTGCGCTCGCCGCCGCCGCCGCCGCCGCCGCCATGCCCCGCCTCCGCGTGCGTGCGTGTGCGTGCATCGCCGCCGGCCTCGGTTTCTCAATTAATTCCCCCGAATTATTCAAAGCACAACCACGTGACGTTAAATCTACGGGAGATATTAAGTCCCACCGCCACCCCCACCCCCTCCCTCCTTGTCCCGTCGAATAAATTTCCGGTGTTACTTGGCGATTTTCACGAATGAATCGATGAATCGTTCGCCGACGCCGGCCGATCGTCCCGTAATTTTCGGCACCGATGCACGCGGCTAATGGAATTCGTGATAAAAGCATGAATTTACAAACGCACGCGCGCGCGCGCGCGCGGGATGTAAGTTGTCCTTGTTGCTGCGTTGGACGTCGCCCGCGTTCCCTCACGCATTCATTCCGATGCGCGCGTGTCGTCGCCTAGGCTGATCTGCCCCACATAGGTACTTTCTTAGCCCCGTTCACTTGATTTCGTAACCATTTCATTCGGCGCAATTGCTCGCTCGCTTTACACGCCCCGCCGTAACGATCGAAATGTGAATGTGAAAGGAGGGTGATTTAACTTTTAAGGAGGGAATTACGGAAATGCGGGGCACGCCGCTTTCAAGGCTATTTTTACAAATTTTTTTGACAGAGACGCTAGGCTCAGCTTGAAATTTTCACAGTGTATTCATTAATGTTCAAGATATAAAATAAATTTGTTACTATCTATACACGGAAAGTACACACATATAAAACTTTAAACGCGTTTATCTGGAAACATCATTTTCTTAAACTGTCGTGCTCGATTACGCAAAAACTACTGAACCGAATAACTTGAAATTTTTACACAGTATAAGGTAGACACGTAGTTTTCGCCCTTACCTCGAACAGAGTTATATTTTATTTTATTCGTTTTTTTAAACATGATTACAAGTTGAAAAAAGTTTCATTTTCGATACCTTTCTTTCGTACAGTCATCTCTCCAAACTTGCCTACATTTTAATACGGGCTGTAATGGCAACCGTATATTTTAAAAATCCTTTTCAGTTTTCGGTTTCAGAGTAGTGAGAGAGAGAGAGAGAGAGAGAGAGAGAGAGAGAGAGAGAGAGAGAGAGAGAGAGAGAGAGAGAGAGAGAGAGAGAGAGGCCCAGAGAGTGCGAGGAATTATGTCGACAGCAAACACAGAGCTCGCAAACGGATGACTGCATTTTTACCCATAATTACAAATTGGATCGATTCTTGTGATAAAATAAAATTTATTTTATACTTTGAACATTAATGAATACACAGTGGAAAGTTTCAAAATGTCGAAAAAATTCGTCGTAAGAATAGTCTTGAAAACGGCCTTCCGCCGCAATGAGACATTCCTCCCTTGAGCGAGAGAGAAGACTCCGCGCCGAGTCGCACCGCGTCGCTCGCGGAGACCGGCGCGAGACTTGCGTTCTAAATCGAAGTGTGTGTCCGCTGTGTGTCCGCAGACGGAGATCGCCAAGAGGCTGAACGCGATCATCGCCCAGGTGATGCCGTTCCTGGCGCAAGAGGTGAGTCTTTGACTTTCTGTTTGGCACGCGTGCCGTGCAGTCTCACGATCGAGTGTGACGACGACGCGATAATCATAGCGTGGCGTTGCAGCATCAGCAGCAGGTGGCCAACGCCGTGGAGAGGGCGAAGCAAGTCACCATGTCCGAGCTGAACGCCATTATCGGGGTAAGTAGTGCCTCTTCGTCATTAACCTTCGCCGCGCGCGGCCGGTCGATCGAAATCCCGCGCGTGCCACGCGCGTTTGTTGCCTCGCCGTTGTCGGGATTCGCTCGACCGAGCCGGCGCGGCGTGCACGGTGTGTCGTTTTACGCCCAATCTTTCTCTTATTCTTGCAGCAGCAGCAGCAGCAGGGTCTCCAGCAACTCCTGGTGAGTGCGAGTCGTGCACGCTCGTATCGCATCCGTCCGGTTCGACGCGACGCAAGTTTCTCTCCGCAAGCTGAGCCGCGCGACCGCGAGGAACGACCGTGCGTCTGTGCGATCTTGACGATTTTTCTCGACCGGTCGCGTCCTTTGCTGATCGAGCCTTGCCGGCCGTTCCGTCAAGTATCGTCTCGACGATACTTGACGGAATAAAATACTATAACTGTGTGAGAAGAAGGACGTTGAATGAATGACAATGTTGGAAACGGCTGACGGTAACTCGTGAGAAGTAGTCTCTCGGTGGAGAGTGAACAGATACGTCCGAAACGATCGATCGAACGGAGAGTATATACGCCAAACGAATGGCGGTCTTCTTCCTCGCGCGTGTCGTCGCGGCCGACTGACGACTGTTCCGGCGGCGAGAATGAAATCCTTCCGCGCGAGCGACATCGGCGCCGGCGCTCAGGCGGGTTAATCGCGATTAATCGCTTATCCTGCACGCGGGCGGTGCAACGGCGATGAAACGAGAAATAACGCACGGGCGATAATTATCGTGTTGACGCGACGCGGTCATTTGCCGCGCCGGCGATTATTCAATCTTTAATTAAGCTCTCGGCCGATATCGACGCGCTCGGCGATACCCATCGGCCACCATTATTCCGCTACCCCGCGCGCGCGCGTCCGATCACTTCCGGCTTCCGGCTTCCATTTTCGTTTGACGAGGGTGTCTTCCCCCTCGCGACCGCGGGCGGACATCCTCTCACGAGAGGATCCGTCGCGCGCGCGCGCGCGCGCGCGCGCGAGCGAGAGAGAGACTCGACGGTCCCGAAGCGCGCGCGGCGGACTCCGCGACCGCTCCTCGATCGACTCGAAGGGACTTAAATTCTCCTCCTCTCGACACGGCAGCAACAGATCCATGCGCAGCAGCTGCCCCACGGCGCAGTGGTCGGCGGTCTTCCACCGGGCGGCCTGCTGGGCTTCGCAGGTGCGGCCGCGGCGGCCGCAGCCGCGGGTGTGCCGCCGCACTTGGCGCCGCCGCCGCATCCCGCGGCCGCGGCTGCGGTCCAGGCACAGGCGCAGGCGCTGCTGAAACCGGCGGACCTGCAGCAACACCGCGCGGCCGCGGAGACACCCGAGGACCGTAAGCCGATCGCCCTACCGGACGAGAGGCTCGGCCGCTCGGTCTCGCCGCCTGAGAAATTTCGCAGCCGCACGCCCGACCTCGAGAGCGACCCCAAGAGGCGGAAGGAGGAGAAGCTAGGACAC